GGAGAAGGAGAAGGAGAAGGAGAAGGAGAAGGAGAAGGAGAAGGAGAGGAAGAAGAAGAGGAAGAGGAAGAGGAAGAAGAAGATCCTATTGAGTGAGAGAATTCATTTCTCTCCCTTAATCAGAGTGAAGTCCGTAATAGTACAGCCCACATATGGAGGGTAAAATCAGCTCTTTCAGACCTCTCTCACCTTGACCTTTCCCCTCTGTAGTGTTTGCAAACTGAAGCCCTCGTGGTTTAGCGATCACCAGATTTCCTACCTCACTTTTGCTTGGCATTACCATAAAACCTGACATAGTGCCCTGGTCTGCCTCTTGCAGACGGCAGTAAGTGGGGGTCTGGCTTAGAGCCCACTAGTGGATTTAGAAAGTAGTTTACTTGCTCAAGATCATGAGCTGAATGATCTATCACTAAATCCATACTTCTTCCCTCCTGAAGTTTTAATTGTTCAGTCTTATTTTTATGGCTCCACGATTTCCAGCCAGATGTTGGATTTGGGATAAGCGTCTGCATTTGGGGTTGGGAAGTGTTGGGATTCCAGTTAGTACGTAGGTTTCATGGGGCCACCTGCAGCCTCCATGGCAGAGATGCTCCCAGTGCTGGGCCCTCTGCTTCTGGGGATTGCACTAAACCCAGGGCTCCTGGAAGGTAACGGCTGCACTTGACGCCCATCGGTCATTGAAGATGCCTGTGGCACGAGGGACCCCTGGACCTCTGTAGTGGTCAGCAGGGCAACTGTTTTCAAAAATGGGGTGTCACTGTTATTTTCACTAGCAGCAGATTGCCTGCCTTCCTGTGGTGACTGTGTTAGGTCCGGCTGTTCACAAAGCTGCGCACTCTTTTCTAGAGCTCTCTGCCGGGGACTTCACCAGCCTGCCATGTGCTGGTGGGATGTCTTTCTTCAGCACTCAGACACTTGGTCCTTCTCTGCATTTGGGAGGTATAAATGACATGCATGCATGGATTTTTGAGGTGCTGAGGTGTAAAGAGCCTTCTCTGGGATCTGTTATGTCACGTTTCATAACACTGGTCTCATCGAGTATCGAGGGATTGAGTTGGTTGAGCTCTCCGTCAATTTTTTGTTCCCCCAATCTCTCTTTTCCATAGAGCTTCTATTAGTTGAATGATGTGCGAGGCACTTTATATCCATTACCTATCTTACCTATACATTTGTCCTGAGAGGTTGTTTCCGTTGGCTGTAGATAAAGAAAATGAAACTCAGGAAAGTAAAATGACTCTCAAGGTCACCTGGATGGTAAGCAATTGAGACAGGATTTTAATTCCAGGTCACCTGATTTCTTGAAGCCTAGCCTCTCTCCACAGCACTGATGGTCCCAACCTTGGCCGTACAGCCGCATAAGCTGGCAAGTTACGAAAAACATCCTTGAGTTACATCACAGGCTTCTCCTGTCCCCAGCCCAGGCTTGGGACCTAGCACTTTGGAGGCCTGTTACAAATATTAATTTGACACCCAGCAATTCTTGGCAAGTAGTAAGCCGTCTATGATGCTTGAGTCATAGGATGACCATGTACTTACCAGCAAATCCCATTCTGACTGTTGAAAGGAGTTAAGTCCTGCTCCTTGTGAGAACACCACTCTTTGGTCTTTGTAAGACCAGAACCCTTCGAATTATTATTCACTTTGATGTTATGTCACACCCAGTCTCTAAAAAGGACATTGTTTCTTTTTTTATGCCCATAACTGAAATGTTATGATCACTCAACAAATGCTTTCAAGACTATAAAGTACAACGCAAATGAAATATATTATTATTATAAACCATGATTCACTAGATGCAGAGAATCCTGTTAAACGAAACCACAGGGGTGCCTGTTGGTTAAGCGTATGACTCATTATCTCACGGTTTGTGGGTTCCAGCCCCGTGTCAGGCTCTGAGCTGAAGGCTTAGAGCCTACTTGGGATTCTCTCCCTCCCGCTTTCTCCACCCTTCCCTGGCTCTCTGTCTCTCTCTCTTTCTGCCAAAATAAATAAATAAACATTAAAAAAAGAAAGAAAAAAAGAAAGAAAGAAAGAAAGAAACCACAAGTCAGAGTGCCAGAGGTTGTAAACTAGGAATATAACTTAGTAAAGAGGTTCTGGGAGACCCACACCCTGAAATCTGAAAAGATCCATTGACTTGAGACACATTTTCATGTTAATAAACTGTGTTACAAGGTCCCAAGGCAATACAGTGAATGTATTTGGAAAATAGACTTCCTGTTTGAATCACAATGTCTGTTTCTGCAAACCTCTTTTTCTTTTATGTTTCAACATTGACTTGGTTCAACTTTTTTTTTAAATGTTTATTTCTGAAAGAGAGAGAGAGAGTCTAAGCAGGGGAGGGGCCGAGAGAGAGGGAGACACAGAATCCAAAGCAGGCTCCAGGCTCCAAGCTGTCAGCACAGATCCCAATGCAGGACTCTAACCCATGAATCATGCAATCGTGACCTGAGCCGAAGTCGGACATTTAACCAGCTGAGCCACCCAGGCGCCCCTTGTGTGAGTGTTTTCAATCACTCCCTTCTACCAACAGTTAAGAATGTGGAGGACAAAGAGAATTTGGGATGGGAGCATGGGGTGTGCTCGTTTCTTGTTCTAACTAAATGTCTAAGGATGACAAATGGAATGCAGTGCCATGAAGATACGGACAATTCACAGTCACATAGCTAAATGACTTTCTTGCTTCCAGCTCATGTGATCAGTGGTACAGTGTCCTAATAAAAATAGAAAATTCAGTACTAAGTAATGGGAAAGGAATGCCCATAATCTCAGTCAGAGAAACAATTATTTTGGCCCCAGGCAATCCTATTTGTCTGTGGGTACTACAATACAGTAAGTTTGCTAAACTTTATTCAAATTAAATCTTAAATGTTTATTAACTTATTTTAAGAGAGAGAGTGTGAGCACATGAGCAGGGGAGGGCAGAGAGAGAGAGAGAGAGAGAGAGAGAGAGAGAGAGAATCCTAAGCACGCCCTGTCAGTGCAGAGCCCAATGTGGGGCTCGATCCCATGAAGCTGAGATCATGACCTGAGCGGAAATCAAGAGTAGGATGCCTAACTGAGTGAGCCATCCAGGCTCCCTTATTCAAATTAAGTCTTAAATGACTGTGGAATGTAATTCAAACGATGTATTCCAGTGAATCTGTGGTTTTGTGAGCTGTATCTATTAAAGGGGGGTTCTTTGAATTACTGTTCACTTTGATGTTATTGGGATAATTGTTCACATTGACTAGAAATGGCTTACATGTAGATAAGTATGTGAACTTCATTTTGATTGTGTAAACAGTGTTCGGAGCAGAGGTTAAGAGCATGGCAGAGCTGGACGGGGGTGAGAGAGCAAAGGCAGACTCTGGAGGCAGACTGCCTGGGTTGAAATCCCACCTCTGACACTTCATTCGTAAGGGACCTCGGCCAACCCACTTACCCTTTCCATCCTTCAGTTTTCCCATATGTAAAACAGGGATATTAATAAGCTCTTAATTAATATTTCTTCATCTGCAAAACGGTGAAAGCTTAGCACGGTGCCTTCCTTCGGTGCAGCGTGCAAAGACAGCACTAACAATAGTCCTGCAAATGGTTACAGTAGCACCTGAGGCCATTGTGCTTTGGCCATACTTACTGCCTTTCCTCATGGGAAGTTGGTCCAGCACTGTGGTCATGACTATAAACCAATACCACCTGCCCAGTGTATTTGCACTGTATTATGGATGACCCTTGACAGACTCTCCTGCATGGGATGTAAGCCTCTTTGACATGGTTACATAATGGATTTTCTTTCTCTTTTTAAATTTTTTAAAGTTTATTTATTTATTTTGAGAGAGAGACAGAGAGACAGAGAGAGAGTGTGTGTGTGTGTGTGTGTGTGTGTGTGTGTGTGTGTGTGCGCGTGCATGTGAGTGTGCACGCAGGGGAGGGGCAGAGAGAGAGGGAGGAAGAGAATCCCAAGCAGGCTCCTTGCTGTCAGCACGGAGCCTGATGTGGGGCTCGATCTCACAAACCATGAGATCATGACCCGAGCCAACACCCAGAGTCAGATGCTTAACCGACTGAGACACCCAGGTGCCCCAATGATTTTTCTTTCCAATGGGAAGCAGATGAAGTTAACACTCTATGATTGTCATCTAAGGTTTTAAGCACGCTCACCAAGTCCTTGTGCCTCTCTCAGAAGAGAGATAAGAACGTGCACTCTGTTTAAAGTCCCCAAGGCTCTGCTTAGCACTCATGCTCGCTTGCTTCCCTTTTTAGGGATAGGAGGACCTGTGTTACAGTGTTCTAAACACCTTAAGTGAGTTGTTCTTGGATGTCATCGTGATGTCTTCCTTGAGGTCATTGTGACAGCATCAGAGTACTCTGAGGTCTTAACCAGGACACTCAGTGAATTCCTTGAGAGATAATTGTGTCTGTTACAGATATTTTATTTAAAAAAAATTTTTTTTTCAACGTTTATTTATTTTTGGGACAGAGAGAGACAGAGCATGAACGGGGGAGGGGCAGAGAGAGAGGGAGACACAGAATCGGAAACAGGCTCCAGGCTCTGAGCCATCAGCCCAGAGCCTGACGCGGGGCTCGAACTCACAGACCGCGAGATCGTGACCTGGCTGAAGTCGGATGCTTAACCGACTGCGCCACCCAGGCGCCCCCAGAGATTTTAATATATGGAAATGTTGGGGATGGAAGCAAATGTAATTGCTGTCTAGCCTCTCAACCAAGGATAACCATTGCTAATATTTTTATGTTGTACACCTGAAACTAATATAACACTGCATGTTAACTCTACTGAAATTTAAAAACAAACAAACAAACAAAAACAAACCAGAAACAAAACACTGCTGATATTTTTGCTGTGTGCTTCCCAGGCTTTTATTTTTACTCTCAATGCCTACGTTTTTCTTTTGGTTTAAAAACTGGTGACTATACTACCTGTGTAATTTGATATCATGTTTTTCACTTACTCTCATAAATATTTTCTATCTTATTTCAAATTTTTCTTTTTTTTTTTTTAATTTTTTTTTCAACATTTATTTATTTTTTGGGACAGAGAGAGACAGAGCATGAACGGGGGAGGGGCAGAGAGAGAGAGGGAGACACAGAATCGGAAACAGGCTCCAGGCTCTGAGCCATCAGCCCAGAGCCCGACGCGGGGCTCGAACTCCCGGACCGCGAGGTCGTGACCTGGCTGAAGTCGGACGCTTAACTGACTGCGCCACCCAGGCGCCCCTATGTCAAATTTTTCAACAACAACTTTAACAAGTTTTAATGTTCATGTAACATAGTTTACTAGTATTCTTTTATTATTTGATGTTAAATTCTTTTGAGAACCTTATAAATAATTCTCTGATGCCCACTAAGGATGATTTCCTTAAGATATTTTCCTGACGTAGTTACTAGCTATTTTAAGTGTCTCGATATAAATTGCCAAATGGCATTCTAGAATATTGGAAACAATGTAGATGACCAATAGTAGGGGTATAGTTGTATAAATTATGGCATTTTCACGTGTCAGAATATTATGCAGCTATTAAGACTGTTAGAAGAATGTGGACATTGCTTATGCTATGAAGATTTGCCTTATTTGGAAAGAAGAAGAATGGATAGTGAAAAAAGACAAAGGAAAAATATACTATCTCAACAGGTAATGTTTTTGGCTATAGAATTGTGGATAACTTTTGGGGTGCCTGGGTGGCTCAGTCGATTAAGCATCCGACTTGAGCTCAGGTCATGTTCTCACGGTTCGTGAGTTCAAGCCCCACTTTGGGCTCTGTGCTGACACCTCGGAGCCTGAGCCTGCTTCGGATTCTGTGTCCCCCTCTCTCTCCATCTCACCCCTGCTTGTGCTCTCTGTCTCTGTCTTTCAAAAATGAATAAACATCAAAAAAAATTTTTTTTAAAGAATTGTGGATAACTTTGATTTTTTCCTTTTATTATTTTGATACATTCCAAAGTTTCTATAAAAAGTATGTATTTCTTTTATAATCAGGACATTGCTTTGTCAAAGCATTAAACCATGATGGTGTTAAGATTCTACCATTCATATGAATCCTTTGGTTTTTTTTAAAGCTCTTGAGCAAAAATAAAATTCCCAATTTCACTAAGAAAATGAAACTTCAGTTATTCCAGCTGCCCAGTTCATATGCTCTAGTATTTTGATTTTTGGAGCAACCAGGGAATGAAGCTATAGAGGGTAGCCCACAGTTGCCAGTTTCACCCATTCAGACGTTTTCCTAAATTCGGTTCTTTAAATGATGACCTCTAAGCTACATATACATACTGTGTTCATTCACTAACTCATTCATGGATTCATTCCAAATTGTTTATGGAGTGCTTATAGCACTTGAGACTGTACTAGGGACCAAAAGAGGAAAAGATGAACGAGACTATTCCTGCCCTCTAGAAGGTCACTGCTTAATGTACTTCAATAGATGTTGGACTCCTGTCAGAATTTTTGGAAAGTTACCAAAACTAATGTGAATTTCTGCCTTCTGTTACTTAAACACCTTTAGTTTCTTTCTTTCGGTTTCTTTGACATCTTCTCTGTGCAGTATTTGTTACTTGACAACTGTGCTAACAGAATAGTCACTAGATACATGTGCTCCTTTCAACTTAACTACAATTAAACAAAATTTTAAATTCAATTTTTTCATCCCACGGGCCACATTTCAAGTGCTTATTGGGCATGTGTGGCTGGTGGCTACCACGTCAGACGGTGCAGATGTAGAGTGTTTCCGTCACGGCAGAAAGTTGTTTTGCACAGCCCTGCCCTCGGAGGAAGCAGGTCACTGTCCTTTCCTATCACCCCTACTCCATGTCCCCACTAAGTCCTTCTTACACTTGGATTGTAGCCCCCCATGAGGACTCCAGAGATTTCCCTCACAAGCAATCTTGCTCATCCTTATGAGACAGATAATCCTTAAAGGGCCGTGATGAACTGTGGCTCCCCGATTACCAAAAAAAAAAAAAAAAAAAAAGTTAGTTGACTTATCTCTTGATTTCCAAATAAATTCCAGACTCTTTAAGTAAGTCCTCTATAACCCATCCTCCATATTCCTCCAAGGCCATATCCACGACTTCGGCTAGTGGTGCCCATTCCCCATCTCCGAAGCTCCCTCTGTTCTCACTTGCTTCTGAGTGACCCTTCATGCTAACCCAGCTGTCAGAAATGTCATTTTCTCTCTTTGCCCAGACTAGGAATCACTTCACATGCCCGCCTCTGCCATGAGTCTTTCTTTAATTCCCATTCAGAAGTCACCCCTTCCCCCTTCTTGCTTATTTATGGCTCAAAATCTGTAATACCTGCATGACATTATTGCATAACAGATTGTATTGTTTTTCTCGCTCATCCCCTTTTCTGTCTTCTAGACTGTAAAGTCTTAGAGTAGTTTAAGTGTGCCACAGGATATGACTTAGAAATTTTTGTTGACTAAATATAGAGGCATGCAGCAGTCACTATATTTTAATTGTAAAATTCAAGTGTGTTAAATACCAGTATGGCCCTTATGCTAGTGAAGTTTGGGTTGTTTTAGAGAGCTGATATTTTGCTCACAATGCCTGATGTAATGGGAAGTACTGGGATTTAACATGGATCTTTTTGTAGGACTTGCAGGAAAATCAGGGTTTATTAAACGGGGAGGAAAGTCACATTACCAACAGAAAAAGTTCTAAAACCAAATAAGTAAGAATGAGTAAGGAAGAGCTTTATCTTGAGCAGCTGTCCTCTTTAGCCTTACTTTCCAAATAAATGAATAATTAAAGATTCCTCGAGGCTTTGCGGTGTTATTGTTTTAATTGTTGGTGTTAGCGGTTCACACATCATAGTTACAATTTTGTGGCAGATGCTTGGCTTTACAGCTAATGACATGACCACAGATGTGGCTGTAATTCCAGCATTAGTGACTACTTCCCTGACCTCCCCAGAAGAGCTGCATTCATTGCACCGGCATCATTTTTTTTCCAGAGTGGAGACGGAGCAAAGACAGAGATAGACACACCTGAGAAACCCTCCCACTGGCCAAGCTAGGACTGTCTCTCCTTTGGGCATCTTATTATGCTGATCCATTCATGCACCCATTTAGGAATTCTCATTTTGTCCACCCTGCTTTGTTTCCCTACTTGGCTTTTTATGAACAGATTCCCCTCCTGGTTTGTACTTCTATTATGACTCTGTTCTCTCTATTCAGTGCATAGGAAAACACCCAAACAGTTCCTGCATTTTGGGGGACTGGCGAATAGGAAGGAGAGATGTACAGAGGGGGCCACGACCCCCATAGAATCCTCTTTATTCCATTATTTCATGGTTTGTTGTTATTGTTGTTGTTAGCTATTGCTCTTTTATTTGTTGTCTGCAGCTTTCTCATTTCTGGTATTGAAACGGCAGTTTTGATTTTATACTTAAGTTGTTGATTGCCTTTAATTTCATGTCTGTTACCTTTTCTTATTTGTGTGGATTGGTTTTTTGTTTGTTTGTTCTGTGGATCTCTAAATAGAAGTTTATGCTTTGCTCCAGCTCTCCAAAGGTTGCACAGAAAATCATAATCATTCATTCAAAAAAGCACAGCTTATTTCTCCATTCCTTTAATATATCTTTTAAGTACACATAGTATGAAAAGTAATGGAATCATATTATTACATATCTCTTTTAAGATTCATGGGGAGCTAAGAGATCATTAAGTTCAACCCTTTAGAAGAAACATTGGCTTAGGGAACTGAAGTACCTTGTCTAGTGCCCATGCCTGCTCAGGGGTAGCACTGGGACTAGAATGTTGGTCTCCTGACTTCCAGGTTAGTGCTCCATCAAAGAGATTCTTTGGCTCTAGAAATAGAAGAAAGTGTCAGCCTTGCAAAGCAATTCTTCATGGTTGTACAGTAGTATCCTAGACCTCCCAATGGTTAGCGTCCAGGTCCTATTGTCATTGTTCAATGACTTCTGCACACCAGTTACAATGTGGGCGTCAACCACAACCACTTGACGAGATGCCACAAGACCTTCCACAGTAAGGAACAGATCAGGATTCAGCAAACGTGCTGGTGGATCTGTTTGTGTAAGAAACAACAGATGGGAGTCTTTAAGTGATGCTGTGCGGATCACTCATGAGAGATGGAGCAAAAGGAAAGTAAGCCCAACAGACAAAGGAGGGTATAGGAGCCACATAACCTGAACAGGTTTCCATTAGGGAGGTTTTTTGCCCACAACTTCCACGTTCCTGATGAAGGATATAGAATCTGAAGTGATTTACAAAGTCACATGTGTTGAGTCCAAGTAGTATGTATTGGTGACAACGTACTTTTGAAACCTTGCCCCATGATGAATTTCTAGACTGCTTCAAAACTAATTAGCACCATTCCTTGTATGGTCCCAGAACTGAGGGTGCTGTTCTTGGCTCACGTTAACTTCTCAGGAAGTGGGGGCTCTGGGCTTGGCACCTATGCTGGCAGTCTAACAGGGACATGTGCTGGCATAAAGTTCGTTATAGGTAGGAATACATTCCATGATCTAACAAGACATAATTAGGGCTGCGTTTAGCAGTTAAGATTTTCTCCGTGTGCTAGAGTGATAGAAGCAGGATATAACCTGAAAAGTCTGCTTAGAAGTTGTATCTTTGGGGCACCTGGGTGGCTCAGTCGGTTAAGCATCCGACTTTGGCTCAAGTCATGATCTTGTGGTTCCTGGGTTCGAGCCCCGCATTGGGCTCTGCACTGACGGTGTGATGCCTACTTGGGATTCTCTCTCTCTCTCCCTCTTTCTCTGTCCCTGTCCCACTCTCTCTCTCTCTCTCTCGAAATAAATAAACCTAAAAAAAAAAAAAAGAAGTTGCATCTTTGCTGGGAGAGAAGGATGTTAAATGTTGGAGAGTGAGAGAAGGGGGCATGGTGATAGTGTTAAGGGCGGGATTGGGACAAAGAACAAACTTCTGCGATAATAGGAAGAATTACCTACCTCACTGATGATCCATTACCTAGTCTCATAGCCCCCACTGAAACCGTCAGAGGCTTATCTGGCACTTGGATCTTTTTATAATTCTTTCCAAACTGGACACAATGTTTTAAAATTGCCTCCCCTCCCCACCTCCCTCCCCGGGGGTTAATAGCAAAAGCAATTGTATTTCTTTTAGTGTTACTTGCCCACAGAGTAACCTGCGCCCACTTACTGGGCAAAACCTCTCAGGTAATTCTTTGGACCATATATGTTACATTAATGTGGAAATTTGCTGACTATTGTCAAATGCTTTTAAAGCATAAACGCCCCTTCCAAGCCCAATATGATGAATTCATAAAACACTTCAGTGAGGTATGTAGGTGCTAAGCCTTATTATTGTTGTTGTCATTATCTTTCTTATTTCACAGTTGGACACGCTAAAATGCAAGAAGGTTAAGTGCTTTACCCAAGGTCACTGAGGAAACCAGTGGTGCAGCTAGAGCAGGACAGGAGGACTCCAGGCTGAAGCACGATCCTTTGTCTACTAAAAAATGTAGAGAATGCTCTTTTTTTCTACTAAAAATCAAACCCAAAAGGCACTAGAAGGCTTGGGAGTTGAAGAATCTCTATTCCGTCTCCATCTGTTTCTTGAATAATGTTGGAGGGGAGTATTGCCCAAACTGACGGATGGTCCATTTATCATTTTTAATACTTGTTGGAAGAAAGCTTTCCAAAGTGACCCTTTCTGTCCATGTGATCGTTTCCAAAAGCTTCCAAGATTATACGCTTCATTTCTGAGAAACAGCTCTCATTTCATTGATCAGCGAGTTAAGGTAAATACACATTCACTGAGTTGGGCGTTGACCCTCATGTAAGCCGCTGCTGCCTCCAAAGTAGCCTTTGTACTAGAGTGTCTGTTGTGTGCTGATTAAGTGTCATTGAATAAATTAACAAGACTGTTCAGACAACTTTTACCATTTTTTTTAATAAGCAAAGACACAATTTCGTTTTTTTCTTTGGGTCTACCCACTTGTTCTAAATTATTGAGGCAGAGTAATCCAGCAAGGAGCTACACTGTCTTCTCTTTTGAAATCTGACACCCTGGCATGTTAGCATTTGCTTTCTATTCTGTACAAGGGGCCCAGAGTGACCCCTGCAACTCAAGCTGGCAAGATGGCACTTACACTTGCAGTGACAGATAGTGATGCCTTGTCGTCCTGACAAATCCGTCTTTAGAGTAGAGCAAGACACTCTGACCACAGTCACCACGTTGGCATCAATGCTCAGGGATCGCGTAGGATAATGCTGCTTACACCCCTCTGTCTCCTTCCAAGGTACCCCTGGGATGGATCTGTGTGTGTGTGTATATATATATATATATGTGTATATATATATATATATACACATATACATATGTGTATATATATATATACACACATATATATATATACTTCCCACTTATAAGTGATAGCACAAAGTTGAGATACACTTAAAAAAATAATCTGTACCCACTGCACAGCTGCAGCTGGCCTTTTTGTACAAACAAAAATGATGCTAAAACAAACAGAAATCCCCAACGAAAATGGAGACACAATCAATACCACTTATGGAGCAGTGCACAGGAAACAATAAAAGATGCAAAACTATGGGACTTCTAGGTCCTTGCACCCCTAGGAATTCCCCTTCCAGCATCCATTGGATGCTTATAGTCTCATTAGGAAAGAGCATGAGGCATGTAAACAGTTACACCTGACATTGAGAAAGTTGTGTGGAGAGACTTAAAAAAAAAATTTTTTTTAGTGTTTATTTATTTTCGAGAGAGAGGACGGAGTGCAAGCAGGGGAGGGGCAGAGAGAGAAGGAGACAAAGAATCCAAAGCAGGCTCCAGGTTCTGAGCTCTCAGCACCCAGCCCGACGTGGGGCTCAAACCCCTGAACTGCGAGATCATGACCTGAGCAGAAGTCAGACACTTAACTGACTGAGCCAGCCAGGTGCCCCTGTGTGGAGAGACTTTGAGGGTCAGCCAGTCTTAGTCCAAACCTTATGCTACCGCTGACCCAGGAGACTTTGTGGCCTCCAGCATATTACTTACCCCGGGCCTTTGTTTTCTTGTCAGTAAAGTGGGAATGATAACACTGGAAGGGTTGCTATAAGGCTTAGAAACATCATAAGGTGCTGTACATAGCCCAGAACTCAGTAAAAGGGCAATGAATGCCAACTGTTATTATTACTAACAATACTAATGGCACAAACCA